ATAAGATATCAAGGAACCTCCAGACAAGAAAGAAGACTTTATACTGTTTGTAAGTTTGTGAAAATTCTGTTTATAAATGATTGTTTATAGTAACTATTTGTAATAATTGGTATTGTAAATTGTACTGCTGTGTATATATTAAAACAAATTTGTGTTAAAAACGAAAACGGTGTGTATCAATCCGTCATATTTGTTGGCAAATATGGTAAATTGATATCGTAAATATATTGGCATATATTTAAATACTAAATCCAAAGTACAACTTAACTATTAAATTTAAATTATCAGTTAACTCGGCTTCGGACTATTCGAAATTCGTAACAAAGGTCATAAGGGGGGGGGGGGGTTGGACTCCATCTAATCTAATCTGTATACTGTTACGTCTCTGGTCGTTAGTTAATTTCCCGTATAATTTCTTTCCGATGAAACTTTAGCGACTCAAGTCCTTTCTTAAATAAAACTAGTTTATTCTTTCTCAATTCAACTTTGCAATACACTTAATTTCCACAGCCAATTTTACTTAACTAATATTATAGAAACACGTTATAATTCACAGGGAATGATTCACACACTTGCTTACTACCGCGCTTGACTCAATTGTCTGTCTCTGTCTGTCTGCAATTCTATCCCGATTAATTGTCTGGCACACTTATATACAAGAATAAAGGGCGTCTAGCAAATACTGGATTATTCGTGATGTTCCCCGATCTTTCTAGAACGCATTACGTGTTACCAGCGTCACGTGACTTCCGCTGTCGTGACACTGCCCCTTCCTTAGTATTGTTCGTCCTGAACAATAGCCACTTACATTAAACCAATAGAAAATTAACAATAACTTAACTAAATGTACAGAATTTACAAACAAAATTAAAATTCCACAAAGAATCTTAATTTTACAGGACGTATCATCTTCCGTACTGGTCTCCATCCCGTTGGCTTCTTCTTCATGTGGGGTTCATCTGCTCCATCAGGAAATCCTATTATCGGTAACAGTCACATCAGTGGTAGTAACTTCATCAAGGGCTTCACCGTTTTCCTTCTCAAAACCAGGTAGAGTTTCTTCTTCGACAGTGGCTTTTTCAGGTGACACGTCTTCAGCAGCGTCATTTGTTTAATTGTTCACTTTGTTCTAACTGAAATGTCCTGGATCGTGATAACGCCCAAGCCTGTTGGCATGCACCACTTTTGGCTTACCTCGCCGACCAC